TTTAAAATTCAATCAATATTTGTATAAATATCAATATTTTAGTAAGCAGTATTCAAAATGTTTTTATGTATTGTTTTTATCATTATTTACACAGTTACGAAACTATATATCAACAAGTCGCAGATATTGATAAAAATATCTACAAGACTTTATGTAATACGCGGTAAAAAGTGAAATTCTTCCAATTCAACATTTTTTTGATTAAACTAAAATGGTGAATTTAAAAATATTTAATATAAATAAAATTATTATTGCAATTTAATTTGATATATGAAAACATTTATTATAAATACAAATAATGAGAATATAACCTACCAATTTTTCACAAATAATATAAAAAGTTTTGATTTTAACATGTTTTTACATAATAAATAGTAGATTATATTGAAAATATGTAATACATCTCTATATTTATCAATGAACATTGTATATTTAACATCATACTAATCATGGCTGAATTATATTTTATGGGGTATTATTTTAATTTTAGGTCGCTCCAGAACTTTATTATATACGAAACAATTAATGAATGAAGAACTACAACAATATGGTGAGTTGTTACAAGAGGTTGAGGGTCTTTTAGATCATGATTACAGTCCAGTAATACAAATGCCTCTTTACAAACGCCCTCGCATTGATAACGAAGCTACACCTAAATATATTTCTTCTGTGAACCATGTGGGAGGAACGCTTGGTTTAAAATCAGATCTTACTATTTCAAAAGCAAAGAAACAATATATTGAACCTCCATTGGATGATATATGGCCACCACCAAATCCAGGTGGACAGAAAACAGTCAAAGTAGATCAATTCGAAACTTTTACTAATGAACTTAAAGTTAATATTTCTGATGCTGAAGGCACCAGAACAGTTCTTGTCAAGATGCCTCAAGAAAATATGTAAAATATGTTTATTTCTTTTTCTTGCAACAATAGAATATCTTTTAATTTACAGAAATTGAGAATTATATATTTCAACATTAGAAAAGCAACGAAATAATAAATTTGTTTCGTTTATTATTAATGACAAACTTTATTATAAAGCTTTTTTATATCCGAAATAATAATACTTAGAAGTAACATACATAGTCACATTACATAATCACTTAGTGACAATTGTGAATAAATAATATTTATAGAGATTTTCCGATGGCTAATTATTCAACTGTAATATTTTCTGAATGCAATCATTACATTTCTCAACGGATATCAAATTTTTGATATTACATATTATTTCATAACATAACGATTTAAGGCTCGACTCTCTCGCGACGAGACATGGGTTATGTGACGTCAGAGGTCAGAGATGACATACAAGAAATTTGCATCATATAGCTTTATTTTAAAAATATATTTTCATATTCTTAAAATTTGCAAAATACTAGAAAGTAAGATATCTGTCCAATAGATCATGTATCTTTTACAAGTTTTAAGAATATATTTATAAAAATATGTATAAAAATATATTTTTAAAGAAAAAAGTACAAAATAAAACTATATGGCGCAAGAAATTTCGCATGTCATTTCTGACGTCTCAATCTAATATGGCTATGGCTAAAAGAGCCGAGCCTTAATAAGATTAAATTTAAAAAAAAAAAAAATGCTGTGAATTGCAAGTGGCCACAGTTCAACATTTTTATGAAAATGTTTCTTCTCTCACTTAATATAATTCATAAATATGTGTGCGTGCGTGTGGGGCAGGCGCGCACGCATGCATGTGAGAGAGAATGTTTGCTAACAAAATAATCTTTGTCCTTAAAGCTCGGCTCTCTCGTTGCAGTCATGTTGAATGATCCAATAGATTACGTAAAAGTGTAAAATAATTCTTGAAATAATATATATTGTTCAGCTATCAGAGATCACCAGATCACTAGATCTAGTTTGTGAACAATAGCTGAACAATGATCTGTATTTCAAGAATTATTTTACATTTTTACATGATTTATTAGACAGTCTTGTCTTTTACTTTCTGATCTTTTTTACGAGTTTTAAGAATATGAAAATGTTTTTAAGGGAAAAGTACAAAATAAAGCTATACGACGCAAAAAATTTTTTATATGTTATTTTTCGCTTCTAACGTATCACGTGTCGCATCGTGAGAGAAACGATTTTTAAGTTCTTAATTTTTAGACGATTTTTCCTTCTTAGAAAGCATGCTAATGTGTACATACGTGTTTACTAATTATGTATCCATCGATTGATCATAGCAAACGCCCCTCATAAGCGCCCGCATTTGACGATGAGTTATCCTTGCCTATCTTTTGTTTCTGATTCGATATGATAACTTTATCTTTTGACTAGGAGTGCTTTCCATTTAGTGACACAAGTCTACACAAGTATCATTCTATCTTTCTTAGCTTTCAATGATTAACAAGGATTAACAAAATACTTGTGTCGACTTGTGTCACTAAATGGAAAGCACCCTAGACATTACAAACGTGCTGCGCTGTTTATCTTTTTCAACACAAGAGCAAAAAGTAATATAATACTATTATATTACTATTACACTATAATATTACACTATAATATTTTTAACTTCTTGATACACAATTGTCAAAACGATCCTCTGAGATCAATACAATGACAGCTATTCGAAATTAGCGCAACGAGAGAATTAATTGGCATTGCGGAAAAGCGGCACAATAAAGTTCAAGAAATGTGAGCAAACCGATGTCATGCCTTTTTTTTTAGAAAGGAGGATAAATCAAAAACTAAACTTTGGACAAACTTTTAGAAAAGGAATAATCGTCTTAGAATTAAGTCATGAATGCGATATTTTAAGGACAAAAGGCTGTTTCGAATCATCCTGTATATGTAAGCGAAAAGAATGAAGAAAGATAAGGAAAAAATACTTTATGAAATTTTTCAAGAATTTTTATAGATTACAGAGGAGAGATAATATTAAACTTTTATTTATGTATTTAAAAAAAGTATAAATATTATTTTCAGAGTCTTATAATTATTATATGTTTTAAAATAATTATATATGTATATAAGAAGATTTCTATAAATAATATAACGTACATACATTAAGTTTGTATCACATACTATTATTACTTTAATGTTAAATATTAGTATTAAATAACATACAAATAAAAAAATATATATCTTTATAATTAATAGAAGTATAAACCAGATATGATTCATTTACGATAATTAAATGTTTGTATGAATGTATGTCTACATATAATGTATATAATCTATCTAAATATATACCCATATGTAATGTAATATAATATCTGAATGAGTATTCGTATATAATGTATTATGTAATCTATTAAAGAAAAACATTTATAATGACGTAATGTCCATATATGTCAATATATTACTTTTGCGTTGACTTTGTTTCAATTGAGGTGTTTCAATTTATATCTTAAATATTTTAATTTCAAACATATATTTTTTTATTGTTATAATATTGTGTTAATTTTGTTTTTATAATATTATAAGTGATAAAAATGATTTTACAATTATAATGGTCAAATTATTGAAAAATTATCAATATGTCCGCGCTTATTTTTCCTATATGTGCGCATATATCAATCACGTGTAATATTTTCTCATATTTTTTTTTTTTTTTAGATATAGATACAGACTTCTATATAAAATAGATCGCTAATATCTGTTAAATTTTAATCGTAAAATCCAAATGTAAATAATGATGGAAATAGTAGCCATAATTTATAAAAGTGATATGCCTAATAAAGTAACATACTCTTGTCTTTAGGATATAAATAGGAATATTAGCAGTGTATTCTATATAGAAAAGTCCGTGATGAGATATTAAAATAATATAAATTAAATTGTATATGTATATAAATTGTATAATGAAACTATCCATATAAATGAAAAATCGTGGAAAACGAAAAGAAGTAAATTATCTAATTTCAGAGATTTTTCAAAAAGTGATATTGAAAATGAATAATAAATATTTTTAATCTAATGAAAAAAGTAAAATATATTTATTCAACGTATTTTGGACATTTTGTACATGGTAAATAATATTTCAAATTTGAAATAGAACATTAATACATTTTACATAAAAATCAAAGGATATAATGCAATTTTATGTTGCCAAAATTAAGATCAAGTCAAGATCAGATCGATTTTTTAAATGGGATCCCATATTTTTGATTCTAGAATCTAATGAGCTGATAGCAATAATTTTTCAAAACAATGAAGTAATAAGTTTAAAAGTTTCAAAATAATGAAGTTTATTTTCATTAAGTACTCTCCGCGTTATAAGACTTGATTGGTCGGGAATAGGCAATAAGGAACAGAAGTCCAACGCGTCGAAAATTTCGTTCCTATTCCCTATTGTCTGTCTTTTTCATTGTGCATCCAGCTTTATTTCATTCGGTGAAGCTGGCTCTATATGAAACATTTTCTCTGACCAACTTTTTTTCTCTCTACGCTGTCTAGTCTCCTTACTCTTACTTCATGAGCTAAACTCAGGTTAAATTGAAAGTTATGGTACCGGCCTAAACAAACCGTTCCCTGATGCAACCAACTAATAATTATCGAAGTGTTGTGTACAATCTGATGTAACCTAGAATATAGTTAGTATAGAGTATAGTAGAGTATAATTTTATACATTCAGTAACATTAAAATGAGTGATGTTTCGAATTTACTTGATCTGTTGCCTGTTTATTATTCAAGATTGTTTCCTTTTGTTGATTACTACAGATGGTTGAGTTACGGAAATGGTAAGAATAAGAAAACACACACACACACACACACACACAATATAATATGTAATGTATGAAACAATATATTTTTTATTTTTCTTTTTAGCCGCTGCCTTTAGTAAGAGAGAATTCTCATTTACACTCTCCGATGATGTTTATATACGTTATCAATCTTTCACCGACCTGAAAGGATTATCGGATGAAATTAAAAGATTGCTGCCACATAAAGTAGATATAGGAGCAATTTATAATATCCAGTAAAATATCATAATTTACATAATATGATATGACTTCTAAATTGTCATATTTCTTGAATTTTTTTATAAACTCAATATATTTCTTTGGCTTATGAGAATTAACATCTAATTATAACTTTTATTATAACTTAAGTAATTTTTAAATTTTTAACTTTGACTCTTTGAAGTGCTTTCTAATACTGTTTGATCTAATAAATTATCATTATATAAGCTCTACAAAACAAAATGTTGATAATATGCTAATTTACTAAAATTACTAAATTTACTAAAATTTACTAAAATATTACAGATTGATACGCATCAACATTAAGCTCATGTTTTGCTAATAGAATTTATTTTGGAATTAAAATAGAATATTTAAATAGAATGCTATTTAAATGATTAAATAACAGCAGCTTTTATTTTTTGTAATTTACTATAAATTTTATAAATAAAATCTATACTAAAATATATACTAGAATCTATATATATAAAATCTATATATATAAAATCTATATATATAAAATAATAATATATAAAATCTGATAGTTTTGTAAAATCTATTTTGATAATTAGTATATACCTGATCTTTTACCTAAAATGATGTTTTCTATCATATTTAAAATATATGTTTTGGATGTCTCTATATATTATCCAGTTAGTCAACAAGTTTGTTATTCAACATTATTCCTAATAATAAATTATGAAATTGATGAAACAAAGTATAATGAATAAAATTATGCATTTAATTTTAGGCCAAGAGATCAAAGAAGAGGTTCTAATTTTCAGCCAGTGGAAAGAGAATTAGTATTTGATATAGATATGACTGATTATGATGAAGTAAGAACATGTTGCAAAGGAGCAGACATTTGTGGCAAATGTTGGAAGTTTATGTCGCTTGCTTGCAAAATATTAGATAGCGCATTGAGATGTAAGATATAATATTTATATGTTATCATGTTACATTAGGGATTATGTTAGAGATATTATAAGGGAAGACATATATTCAGAAAGATCAAAAGATTTTTTTATACAAAAACAAATAATTTTACTTTAGCAAAATTTTTATCAATGTTTTACACATGTATTAGTGAATATAAAATTCTGAAATGAAAAATGAAAAAATAGTACTAACACAATCATCGACGCCAGGCTTATTCATTGTTATTAATTATTTTTATACAGTTTATTTGAAACTAAAAAATTCAAATTCTTGAATTTTTTAGTTTCAAATAAACTGTAAATTCTTGAAATATATGGATAAATTTTTATTATTGTTGACTTTAAAAATTAAATTTACAAAACAATAAGTTTCTGATTGAGACAATAATGCAATTTTCGTTAGAAAAGTTTATATTTGGTTGGGAAAAACTATAAAAATATTTCTATGATAAAGACTGCACAATTTTATGCAAGCTAAGTAGAAAAAAAGAATTATGTAAATCTATATAGTTGTTTCCGAAATATTTTGATTATTGTTTTTGAAAACGCAATTTTCAGAAAAATAGAATAAAAATAGAATTTAAAAATAGAATATATACTTTAAATCAATTTAAAACTGAAATTATTTATCTGAAATGATACCATAACAAATAATAAATTCTTTATTAACAATAATGAATATTTTGAATAATTTTGAATATTTATATTTGTGTTTATTTCTTACATTTAAAAAAATTTTTGATACTCAATGCTCCATTTTTTTCTTTTTCTATTTTGTATCTATTTTAAGAAAGTTTTCTTAAGATATACTTGAAGCGAATATAAAAAATGAAAAATACATTCTTTTAATCTTTTAGGATTTACGTCTCTAACATTAGCAATATTTCCAAAACAACTGAAAATTTTCTTTTATAGTGGATTTTGGATACAAACATATCTTATGGGTATTTTCTGGCAGAAGAGGTATTCATTGTTGGGTATGTGATTCTAAAGCGCGCACCTTATCAGGACAGGTACGCGCGGCAGTTGCCGAATATTTACAGATTATAGGTGGTGGTGAGTTTATGAAAAAGAAAGTACATCTTACAGGTGATAAAATTCATCATTCTATCAAGTAAGTTTATACGGCACTCATAATAATAAATAGAAAGCAGAAATAGAAAAATGGTATTATATGTTATAGGCGCGCTCTCGATATAATCGATCCTGTTTTTATCGAAATGTGCATCAAAGAGCAGAATATGTTGGGTACAGAAGAGGGAATTGAAAAATTTCTTGCGATATTGCCTAATGAGGAAGATAGACAAGAAATGAAAGTGCTGTTTAGTAAAGAGGGCACCAGCGAAGCAAGATGGAATATATTCGTACAATATATTGAATCTAAACGAACAGGGGTATGGTTAAATCTGTAGCAATTTTATTATATTATTATACTTTTTAAATTAAAAAAAATATTAAAATTATCAGATACAAATAAATAATCCAATTTTTTTGTATTAAAAGTTTATTTCAAAAGAAAGTAAAACAAATTTTTCAAAGTATTGCTATTACTTTAAATCATCTTTCGAATAATTTATGGATTTTATCTCGGAAAAATGCAATGCCTTTTAACACAATAGCTATACGTCAAGCTTTTGTATCTCATCCATTGATTCGAAATACGTATTAGAGGCATGTTGCATTTACCGGAACAATTTTTAGATAAAAAATTAATTTAAAAAACAATTTGGATTTATTTGTACATCTGATACTTGATTTACATATTTTAGGGAGATCGAAAATGGTATTTATATCGTCATTTAATCGAAGAAATAAAATTACAGTATTCATATCCAAGGCTAGACATAAATGTCAGCAAAGGTTTAAATCACTTACTAAAATCTCCTTTTTGTGTTCATCCGAAAACTGGTAAAATTTGTATACCATTTAGTGCAAACGCAGTAGATAAATTTGATCCTGATAAGGTTCCTACAATAATGACATTGATAGAAGAAATCAATATATACGATGTAAAGGATAAAGTTGAAGAAGAAACATATGAATTAAATAAAAAACGAATAAAAGATTATAAAAAAACGAGCTTGAACAAGTCGTTACATATTTTTCAAGAGTTCTTACAACATTTGGAAGCCGAGCGGCGGGAACAGAGGTTAAAAGGCAAAAGTAAGTGCATCATATTAACTACATTATCAGTTTTTATATAATTTTATGCAATTATTAACTATAAATTTTAATGTTTAATTTCAGTTTCAACCGACCGTATGGAATTTTAAGAGATTTTATAAAAACATTGTCTTTTAGAAATTATTAAAAATAATATTATTTATAATGTTTTAAATATATTTTTGCGAAATAAAAAGGAATATATATTTTATATAGTTCAATGTATCAAAATCTTTCATATTAAATTACTAAATAATACAGTTGTGGAAAAGCAAGGGAGGACATACCGAGTACGTTCAATAACATAATTACTCAATAAATTCTCATTCAGCGCTTCATTTCGATTAGAATATTCTTTTATATTTAACATGAACCTAAAAGTATGCTTCATCTATCATCCCAAAACTTGTAAAATTTATAAATTTGTAAAATTACAGAGTAAAACAGCAAATGATTGTGTTTCATTGTTTGCTTCATTTTTATTATTTTTTTTTTACAACCTATATATAAATAAATCAGTAAATACGTGTATGTATGTGACATACCACACATATTTTTGTATATTCAAATATTTTTAAAATGTTAAAAAGAAAGGAGCAAATAGATAAATGTCAATTCTATCGACGTATCAGACATGATGTGTATTAAATAATATCTTAAGTGGCGTCTACAATAAGATTTTAAGACGTAAGACTTAAGAAACTGGCCAATCATAATCGATTTATAGAAGAACATTCGACGCCTTAAAATCGCATTGTAGACGTCGCTTTAACTACTTAAGCAGTAAGCGAATCAGCCAATCACAATCGAGAACGAAAGGCAGTACCTAAACAGTAGCAAATCCATAACGTTGATTTCCTTAGGGCCTATTCAGCAGACAACCTTGCATAGCAGCCATATGCATAAGGAAAATTACCCAATCGCATTTCTATCATAAAAACACATGTAAAATGCGATTGGATAATTTTCCTTACTGCTTAATTTTACCGCTTAGGTTTTCTTATGTGCCAGGATCCTTACTCTACGTTCTACTATACCGAAAAACCAGCTTACTTCGACGTCTTACAGCTTCACTCATTACTGCTACTGCCCATTGTAGACGACGTACAAGACATCTTAAAATTTTTAGAATGTCTCCAGGGGTCACAGAGAACGTGAGAATAAACTCTAGGTAAGTGATTCCTGAAAGAAACTCTCTCTTATCTGCTACTTGCCGCGGATTACTCAACCTAGACCGTAAAGTAGGCTGTGTTCATTTTTACTGGCAGTATTGCCAAAATGATGTTATAACAATGTACTGCCATGTTGTTCGGAAATCACTTTCTCTGCTGCCAGCGTAAATATTATAATGTATAAATAAACATTTTTCTGCAGTAGTTTCAGTAATCATTTAAAAGTTATTAACAAAATAGAAAAATTGGTGTGAAAATAGTGTAATAAAAAATAAGTAGAAATAGATGTAATGTATAAGAAATCTATGATATCAATATGTATATCTGTGATGGATACTTTAATTGATAGTTTTGAAGAAGAATTCTTAGAAGATATGTTTTCAAAAATTTATTGGCCGAATTAAAAATTATATTAATATTGTATCGAAATTTTAGCTAATGTTGAAAAAGTAGAAAATGCGAATTAATATTCATTATAAAAATAACATTTAATTGCAGATCATCACGTGATATATTCATATGTAATATGATTTTATTATTTTATTAAATTTAGCTGCACCTAAATTAGAAAGTTAATCAAATAGATGTGACTGATTTATAATTCATCCGGAAATACAATTATAAAAAAAATTATTACTTTTGGCTAGACAAAAACTAATATATGTGTAAATTAATTATATATCTTTTATTTTTCCAATTCTTGCTCTACATGCAGCTTTTTCATTTAATGTTACTTTACATATTATATTATTTGTTTCTGCATCAAGCAAGTCTATAGTTTCTATCCTGATTTCTGTCATGATTTGTATCTTGTCAATCTTTTCTCTACCGTCTCTACCGTCAATCTTTTCCCCGACGCCATATTTACACTGCGACTACGGTGTAGATGATCGTTTCTTACTTTCACAATTCGTATGTATATACTTCTGCAATGCGCATGTGCGCGTTATTAATTAATTTCATCTTCATATATGATTTTGTCACATATATTTATTGTGCACATTTCAGCGGTAAAATTTGGCTTACATAAACAAGAAAATAATGCAATTCTGTTATTTATGTAAAAGAAAAAACACGCAAGGGCCTATATTCGTAGTCAGTTTTTATATTTAAGATCGTCTTAAATAAGCTCATACAGCTGTCCTATTGGTTGAAATGTTATCGTAAAACGATCTTAAATATAAGAACTGACTATGAATACCGGCCAAGATGAAAAAAATGAACTGTTAATTAATTAAATAAGCTCATACAGCTGTTCTATTGGTTGAAATGTTAAAATGATCTTAAATATAAGAACTGACTATGAATACCGGCCAAGATAGAAAAAAATTAACTGTTAATTAATTAAATAAGCTCATACAGCTATTCTATTGGTTGAAATGTTATCTTAAGACGATCTTAAATGTAAGAACTGACCATAAATGTCGACCGTAGTGCCTATACTGATTGTAGGAGTGCGTTTAGAAATAACATCCGAGTGCATCCAAGATATAGTTTTTATCTTTGTTTAATATTCGATGGACAATAAGAATAAAATGTTACATCCGATATTTCTGAAACCCAGCCTGGTGACGGCATTATCGTGTTGTCGCGTCCTATGTGTAATAGCCTTTACTTGAGAAATTCTAGGCTTCTCTAAAGAAGCTTTGCTCTATGCTTTGATACTATTTCATTTCGCATCGAATGACAATCGAAGCGAGTCGGTGCTCTTTTGTCACATCTGGAGCAATTACATAGTCTCGTCCTGTATTTATAAGCATTTTTTTACTTTTATGCAAGGTGGTCATGTCAAAGATAATGATGGCATCGTTCTTAATTTGATGTGCATTTAGAAACGTTAAATAGTTGAATTTGTATATTGTGTGTGCGCGCGTGAGACAAATTGTGTACTTTAACAAGTTGTTATGAATTGTTAATTGTATAAATTGTGAAAATGGTATCCCGCAGCGTATCGGCTCGCAGGTAAGATATATTTTGCTGCTCCGCGTGCGAGAAACACGAAATTTTATTACGATTGGAGAGGACAAATGTGATTTAAATTTTTTTATAAGAGTGCCTGCAAATGCGTTCTTGATGACTCGCTTTAGTGGTTAAATACAATCTGACACATTCAAACACGGGATTCGGGCACGGGATTTGCGCGAAGTTAATAAATATCCTCTAATTTTAAGTATCGTTTGTCTTGTTTTGATCTTGTTTTTTCTCTCATTTATATTACTCGTACTCGTATCCTAATTGAGAAAATAACGCGTTATCCACATATACGAGAATGAACGTGAGCGAATGTACTAAGAAATAAATCGTCACTCGGTGTATGTTTCACTAGACGCTTGCAACGTTGAGCATCATTTATCTTTGTTTCAAATTTGATGAAATGAAATAATGCCAAAAGCAATGCGAATATCAGGAAGTCTATGCACTCTTTATTATATATATGATATTTGTATACGTATCTTTTTTTGTATGATGCTCTCTTCATATTTATTCTGAGTTATCCTTTATATGCTGCTGTTGATTAATTGACAATTAATTGATATACTTATAGTTAATCTTTTAAATGGATACTAGAGCAATTAATTATAAATTTCAAATTATAATAATATTAACATGGATAATTCTACTTACAGGTGGTTTCACCCTAATATTACGGGTTTAGAAGCAGAACGTTTATTAATGGAACGTGGATTTGACAGTTCATTTTTAGCACGACCGAGTTCTTCAAATCCTGGTGATTTTACTTTATCCGTTAGGTAAATACATTAAATTTATAGTCAAACTCTTGCTATATGAATTAATTATAAGTTATACAAAAATAAATTAATGTATAATATTGAATATCTTTGTCTATCTATAGACGGAATGGTGAAGTGACTCATATTAAAATAAAAAATGCAGGAGATTTTTATGATCTTTATGGTGGTGAAAAATTTGCTACACTTTCCGAATTAGTACAGTTTTATATGGACAATGATGGGCAATTGCGTGAAAAAAATGGTGAAATTATTGAACTTAAATATCCTCTCAATTGTGCTGATCCTACGTCTGAAAGGTACATATAATTTTATATAACATGCATTTTAATTTAATAATTATTCACAAAAAAGTAAAAGTAATGACATCCAGTATGTGCATTTTATCTTGAAAAAAATATCAAAAAATAAAACTTATATATTGTTTAAATTTATAAATTAAAAGAAACTTATACAATGTAAATGCTTCAATTTTTGAAAAATACTAAGATGAGAAATTATACTAACTATAATTCCAATATTAAAACAAATGTTTATTATATAAATGTATAACATTTTCATGAACTTAGTTGAATGCAATTACAATTATATATATGTAATATTTAAACACATACATTTTCATAAAGAGTTCTTCAAAATATGGAAAATCAAATACATATCTAATGGAATAAAAGTAAAAATAAAAATAAAAAATAAAAATATATAAGTAATCAGTAATTGAAATAAGAAAATATCCAATAGAAAAAAATTTGTGCTGCTAAACTCAAAATATAATAAAAAAATATTTTTTAGACAATAAAGAATAAAAATTTATTTTTTAATAATAATATTAGAATAATTTTATTATTATCTGAACTAAATTTATAAATTTGAAAACTAAATTTTACTCTAATACATTTCATTACAATAAAATTGATAAATATATATTATTGATGAATATAAATTTGTTGAAGCATTCTCTAAATGTTCAATATACTAAAAGAGATAAGATTACCATTTAGTTAAAGAGACTCCGGATATATGATATGACTATAGGTATGAAGATGTATGACTGTGAAAAAATGTTTGTATAAAATGATATGTATGGGGCATATGGGGATGTGGAGATATAAGTGTATAAATATATAAAAATATAAAATGATGGATATGTGAGTGTATGATTATGTGAAATGTGCATACAAGAGATATATGGATACAAGAAAGATATGAGACAGATATATAGATGTATGGAAGTATAAATATATAGATATGGAAATGTACAATTGCAAGAAAAAAATATATAAAATTACATGAGTATGTAGGAGTATGGAGATATAGATGTACAAATGTGTAAAAGTGCGAAACAGCAAATGTGTCAATGTATGAATATATGCAGAGATGCATGACTGCACAAAAGAATGAATATGTGTAATATTACATGAATGTATGGGAGTATGGAAGCATGCATAATAGGTATGCAAAGGTATGCATAATAAACGTAATAAAAGTATGAGACACTGAATGTGTGAGCATATGAAGGCATGTGTAGATACGAAGATACAAGACTGTGTGAAAGTGTAAGTGTGTAAAATTTAGCGGGCATACAACACATACTCAATGTGGAGATATAGATATGCAAATGTAAAAGTAGAGATTTCTGATATTCATGGCGCGCGTGCATGCGTGCATATGTGCACACGTTTATACGTTTATAATGTGGATTTAGGACGGAGCATAAGCTAAGAGGAAAAGCACATTTGCAGTGGCAGAATCCGCCATATTTGTTTTAAAGATCACGCACATGGAAACACATAACGTGCATGTGTATATACGTGTATATGCCTGTACGTATGTGTATTTATTTTGTGACATCAATACAACCAAGTAAGATATCATAAACATGTTGGAAAGATGGTGGAAATGAATATAGCGAAAACCGGTTCTCCTGGCATGAGTTTTCATACTCCTTTCTTAAACTAGAGCTTTACATCCCTTTAAGTCCATGGTTTATAGTCAATCGAAAAAAATCGAGGATTGACTATCATTCTTAGCATCTGTAGACATCATGGACTGGAAAGAATGATGCCAGAATGAATGATGTCAATAATGTCTATAGACGCATAGAATTAATTGTTGTTTTCTTTTACATATATTAAAATTGTTTATAAGTTAAAGGTTTTTAAAATCGAGGATTGAATTTGTAGTCAAAATTTAATAATGCAAAATTAAAACGGTACCTTTAAAGTTCACAAAATTATTAAATATTTTATAAAACAGTTGTGATAAATTTTTTTTAATAAAATAAGAGATATCACATAGGTTTAAAATTCAAATTTCTAATTTTGCTTTTAAATATCCAATATGGCGGATTTATTTTTAAAAACTTATTTTAAACAAAATTAAAGGCGTATGTGTGAGTGTGGATGCGGGTGCGAGTGCGGGTGCGTATGCGTATGTATCTTGAAACTCCAAAATCTTTATTTTACACAAAAGATATATGAAGAAGATTTATTAAGAATTTGATCAAATTTTGCATCATTTTTCGAATTCATCATTTTAAAATTTATTTATTATGTTAACGTTTAAATTCATATTTAACAATCTCCAGGACATTATTAAAAGATGCACAAAATAAAATTAATACAATCTATCTTATTTCAAGTTTTACTCCATATTGAATCCCCTATTTTAAAATTTGAAATTCTGACATTAAATTTGTATTGTAATGATTTCAGAAATCTTTGTATATTGTTATCTATTGTTCAATACATAGGACTTTTTAGATCCACTTTTGAATCATGTGTTTTGAAATCGGACACTCAAAGGCTTAAAGCCATCTAGTAATGACAAAAACAATAATGCGAGATGACGACCAAACATCTCTTAAGAAAACATTTATATATTTTAACTTTGCATTGTTACCTATATTTTTGCCCGTATAGAAGGTAAAAAAGGATAAAAAAATTTTTTCTTATACAATTTGAAGCTAAGTTATTTTCTAGTTTGTGTTAATAAGACAACAATTAAAAATAGAATAAATACAAAGAATTTTTATTCAAAATATTCTAATATTTGAAGATATTTACAACTATAAAAAGAGTCGATTAAATGTTATGAAACAATTATGTTTACAGGCAATTTTTTTTAATAAAAATTATTTACATGTTATTTAATATATTTATTTTATCTCTTTAGCTATTGTCTTAGTGATATCAGTTAAAGACTTTCTTTTATTAAGTTATGCTGAAGATAATGTTATTATATCTATAATTACGAAATTTTTACAGAAACAATAAAACAAACCATTGTGCATTGTAATTTAGATATAGCGTTTATTTATTAGCATTAAACTACTTTTATTTAAAAACTTTAAATGCAATTTTGTTAAAGAAGAGATGTGCAAATTTTAGAATTTTCTGTATATGCTTAATATGTCATAATAATAATAATAACAACAACAACAACAACAACAACAATAATAATAATAATAATAATAATATATCCCTAAAGGTGGTTTCATGGCCATTTATCGGCAAAAGAAGCAGAACGATTAATGCTAGAACGCGGAAAAAATGGGTCTTTCTTAGTGCGTGAATCTCAAAGTAAACCTGGCGATTTTGTTTTATCAGTACGCACTGACGATCGTGTCACGCACGTTATGATACGATTTCAGGTTAGGTATATATTAATATCTTTTATATAGCATCTAACATACATACTTAGACAACAATAATTGTACAATCATTGACAACAGACCAAAGTAATTCTTCAAGATCGAAAAATTATTTGAAAATAGAAAATTTTTTATATAAATTTTCTTTATTAAAATTTTTTTTGAATATTAAAGAAATAATAATTTATTTTTTTAGCTTAAAAGATTCCAAAAAGAATGAAGTATTACATTATTTATATTACTTGTTGAAATAAAATCTTTTAGTTTCTTACTACATGATTTAAATTTTCTGACATTAACCATTTATTCTTACGTGTTTTATACATCTTTTATTTTATATTTTGTAATTTTTTTTATATAGAGTTTATCTTTCTTTATGATATATGAATATGCTTATATATGTATATATTTATTGCTGCATATTTGCTTTTATACATACACACACATACCGCACACATGTACACACTTGTGTGTGAATGATTAAAATAAATATTTGATTATGTATTTGATTATGTACAATATAAATCAAATAAATGAAAATAGAGAATATTGCAGGATAACAAATATGATGTTGGCGGTGGTCACAAATTTGATACTCTTAGCGAGTTAATAGAACACTATAAAAAGAATCCAATGGTTGAAACAAGTGGAAGTGTTGTTCATCTTCGGTAAGGATTTGCTAATTTATGATACTTTATTTTATAAACTAAAATATTTTCTAAGTTTTAAAATGTTAGGCGTAATATATGTAATATCTAATAATTTTTATCAATTATTTGCAGACAACCGTTTAATGCAACGCGTATTAATGCTAGTAGTATTGAAAGCAGAGTTAGACAATTGCACAAAGAAAACGGTTGTTCCAATGGCTGGTTGTGTTGGAATGGTACTACTGGAAATAGTGAAGATGGTACGGGCCGTAGTAAAGGAAAAGCTGGCTTCTGGGAAGAATTCGAGTCTCTGCAGCAGCAGGAATGTCGAAATATGTTTTCGAGAATAGAAGGTTTACGTCCAGAGAATCGTTCTAAGAATCGTTATAAAAACATTTTACCATTTGATTATACTAGGGTAAAATTAAAAGACGTAGATTCTAATATTCCTGGAGCAGATTATATTAATGCTAATTACATAAGGGTAATATTTCTTTATTGATATTTTTATTT